GATAGATAGATAGATAGATAGATAGATAGATAGATAGATAGATAGATAGATAGATAGATAGATGAAAGAGAGGAGAGGAGTGAGAATAGATAGATCATAGATGATAGATATGTGGATGCATAGTTGGAAAATAGGTAATAAATCATTAGATGATAGAAGATATAGAAGAGAGAACGTATAGAGGAGAGGAGATAGAAAAGAGGATAGATTTAGATAGGTAGGCAGGCAGGCAGAGACAGACAGATGAAAAAGAGAAAGAATATACAGAGGATAAAGGGTAGATAGGTAGGTACATATATCATAAATCATAGATAGATGATAGAAGATAAAAGAGAGAGAAGATATAGAAGAGCAGGTAGAAAGATCTGTCTGTCTGTCTGTCTATCTACACACACACACACACACAAACACAACATTTGTAGAACGCACGCGCGCCTCCTTTCTGTTTGTATACACAAGCACACGCGGGGGAGTAACTGTCCGAGCTTGGTAACGTTTGCTTGCAGACGTTTTCATGACCCAAACTAGAAAGCACCGGTGCTCGTCGTCAGCGCTGATCTTAGCTTCGCTCGGGTTTACGAAACGCCTGCAAGAAAACCACCGAGCTCAGAGAGCACCAAGCACTCCGCGTTTCAACCCCGAGCTCCAAATATTCTCCTTTATCGGCACAAAGGCGCGCAACAGAAGTTTGCAAAAGGAAACCGAAGGCGCTTCTGCAAAGACCAGCCAGCCGTTTGGGGACGCGGCGGGGCGGGGCGGGGGTCTGCTTCAGGATTTTCTCCTGCCTCCCCTTTCCCTTTAAACCTGTCCCGGGAAGAGACGTCCCGCCGCAAACTTAACCCCTGCGCCGCCGGATTTTTATTTCTCCCGCTTCTCCTCTTGTCCCGACTACAGCACCTCGCCCCCCCCCCCCCCAAAAAAAACAAACTGGGCGGGCAAGCAGAGGTCCAAGAACACACTTCTTGAACCCTGAGCTCGCCCAGTGAGGAACTCTTTTAAAGAGCCGCGCGCGGCGCGCAAACTTCCGCGTATACGGGTCTCCACGACCACAACGATACACAACATCCCTCAACGGTTGCAATATGCCCAAAGCCCCTGGAGGCGTTTTCCTGTAAACGCCCGGAGCGGCCAACCTCCCCTACCTCCTCTTCCTCCCTTCCCTCCCGCGGACACGCGTGTAGGCGTCTCCACGACCGCAACGATTTCATTCCGCCCAACGCCCCTCGCGGCGTTCTCCTCCAACCGCCCGGAGAGCCCAAACCTCCCCTTCCTCCTCCTCTTCCCCACTTCCCTTCCGCGTACACGCGTGTCTGCGTCTCCACGACCCCTCAATATCCCCCCGACGATTGCATTCTGCCCAACATCCCTCGCGGCGTTTTCCTCCAAGCCTCCGGAGCCCCCACACCTCCCCCTCCTCCTCTTCCTCCCTTCCCTCCCGCGTACACGCGTGTGCGCCTCTCCACGACCGCAAAGACATCCCCCGACGGTTGCATTCCGCCCAACACCCCTCGCCGGCGTTCTCCTCCAAGCGCCCGGAGCACCCAGACATCCTTCTTCTCTTCTTCTTCCTTCTCCTCCTCCTCCCCTTCTCCTCCCACACTTCCCGGGTTACACGCGTGTGCGCGTCTCCACGACCAGCCCCTCGGCCGAGCGTTGGGACCCCGAGAGCGACGCCCGGCCGGCCGGAGATCAAACTAACCTGCCAGCGGGACGGCCAGGACGGAGTGGAGAAAGAGTCCGAGTGGCAACAGCTGGTGAGTCCACATGGATGGGACGGAGGAGGGGAGGACTGGCTACCTGGGGCCGGTGGCGAAGGGGCGGGAGGAGGGGGCTCTTCCCCCTTTCCAGGGGTCGCCAAAGGAGTCGGAGGCGGCAACAGAGGAGCCCGAGGGCGAGGAGCTGCTATTTATTGCAAGGAGCCCGGGTTTGGGCGAGTGAGTAACGCAGGAAACCTCAGGGTCCCAACTCCCTCTGACGGTAAGAAAGCGCGTTCGCAGCAGCGCTCTCCCCGCCTTCCCAGCCGGGGAGGGGGAACCGAGGGGCACAGGGACCAGCGCAGCGCCGACGGCCAGAGCCCACCTTTCCGGGGGGGGGGGGGGGGGGGGGGGGGGGGGGGGGCCCATCCAAGGCGGTGGGGAGAAGCTGCTCCGACCCGGGGACGGACGGACGGCAGCTCCGCTTTAGTAGCAGCTTCGAGGAGCCTGGAGGATTTGTCTTAAGTTAAAAAAAAAACTCCCTGAGCGCAGAAATCTAGCCCGTTAGAGCCCCGAATGGGTCGCTTCTTGGCGTTCTTTCCATCTCGGTTGAGAAAAGTTGGGTTGTTGGTGGAGGTTTCAACCTTCGGGCTTACTTGGGCGCTGCACCCCGTTTGGATCAAAGAGGGTGCAGCAAGGAGGCGCTTTGGGTTACCTGGGTTGGTTCTAATAGAGGTGATGGGGCCAGGGAAGAGAGGGAGGGAGAGATGGAGGGAGAGGGGGGGAGAGAGAAGAAGGGAGGGAGGGAGGGAGGAAGAGAGAGAAAGGGAGGCGGGGAGAGAGAATGAGAGGAGGAGAGGGAAGAAGGGAAGGAGAGTAAGCAAGGGAGGGAGAAAGAGGAAGGGAGAAAGTGGGAGTGAGAGAGAGGGAAGGAAAGAGAGTAAGAGGGAGAGAGCAGGAGAGGGCAGGGAAGGAGAGTGTGGGAAAGAGA